CAAGATTTGTCATTAATTAAAGAAAGATGATGGTAAAAAAAGCTTCAATTAAATTTAATGAATTTAGGCATTTTGATGAAGGGAATATTGACTTTAAAAACGAATAGGGTTTGSAGAGAAGCTTATCCAAATTCTTAATATTCCAGAGTTTAGCTCAAAATTAAAAACACAGAGGGGGGAGGAGATTTGTCCTCTTTGTTGCACGTCATTCAGATTTACCCTTTCTCCCTCTAGGGCTTCTCTTCACAAATCTCAATTCAATCAAAAGGAGAGAGAAATCGACGATTTACAACTAGGGTTCCACTTTGTTGGGTTTCTCTGCTCCGTATTTTGCACATCTTCGATCTTCAAGGAACCTTTTTCTGTATCTTGATTTACATGAATGGATACAAGTTCATGCCTAGATGATCTCAACACCCTCTCATCCTCATCTTTACCTTCTCAAATCCATCAAAAGTGAGGTTTCAAGTCTTTGTTTCTTCTCCATTCTTTATAATTTCGATTCGATGAAAAATATGTCAACAAGAACGTTTTGGAATTGTTGATTTGATTGATTGATCCATCGATCGATCTTTTTTATTTATCTTGGTGTTCTTGTTTATATCAAAGAATGTTGAATTTTGGTATTTGAATTGAATAATCCAAGGTAGGTATGATTTGCTTTCGAGTTTTATTGGGAAAAGTAGATTTTTTTTTGCTTGTTGGACTGTATCTTTTACTGTAATTCGTAAACAAAGCWGGATCTCTTTGTGTCTGAACCTCTGTGTTGTATCAATTTGTGGCATTTATTTTGTTAGGAGTTTGATGCCCACCTAAGACACATATGATATTAGATGATCAGATGTTCATAATTCGATTTCGGTGAGTGTGGAGTAACAATGTAAATTATATCACAATCCCTGCTTGGTTTATGGTTCATGTTTTGGTTGCTTGCACATTAGATGTGTTTGTTTTCCTGAGTAGTTTTCTATGATTGTTTGCAGTTGAATTTGAAGTCAATCACTGGCTATTGTTTTATTTCGAATGGGCTTTTATGTTGAGATGCTTGTAGGTTTWTAATCTCGAAGGTTTTGAATGTTGTGTGTTGTAATGTTAAAACAAACGGATCATTCAGTCATAGCTATTGATGGCTAGCACAGCTCTTCCTTATATATTAGAGGTGCATGCATTTGATCTTAGCCATCTTACAGACAATTTTTATTAGTGATAGGAGCGTGCTTCATTTGCTGGCAAGAAGAGAAATAGCTCCWAGAACAGCAAAGTGCTTGCCAAAAAGGCAGTGGGGAGAAGCTTTTAATCGGAAGCATCAGTCATCTGTTAAACCTGAAAGTGAAAGAGTGAGGAACTCAAGACGTGAACTTCTTTCATGGTACTTATGTTACTTTCTTATAGTGTTTTGATGTATGTGACGAAAAAAGTAAAGCTCGGCTGTTCTTTTACTAGTTACTTGTTTTTATTGTTCCAGGGTGGAGGCTGAGTCATTGCGGTGTTTATCAGCCAAATATTGTCCTTTGGTGCCTTCTCCGAGGTCAACTATTGCAGCAGCATTTAGCGCAGATGGCAAAATTCTTGCKTCTACTCAGTATGTCGTCAATTATTTTTGTTTTGTTCTTTGCGGTTTCCCTTATCATATTTAATTGAAGTCAGTTGTTTTTGGAATTGGCAGCGGTGACCATACCGTTAAAATAATTGATTGCCAAACTGGAAAATGTGAAAAGGTGCTGAGTGGTCATCGAAGAACTCCTTGGGTGGTAAGATACAAAGCATTAAGTCACCTTTATCGTCTTTCTGCTGCTAGCTCGTTTTTCAATCGAGTTCAGCCTCACCACCTTAGGATTATTGATGTATGAGATGCTGTTTCTTGTAGAAGAGATCATTTGGAAACTCTGGCAGCATTGTTTCAAACTGTTTTGTTTTTGTTTATGATTGACCAAGCCATATTATAAATGAAACTTTTAATGGTGAGCTTAATTTGAATCTCTTTTGGTTGATAWAATATCTGCCTTAATGATTCCACCTTCCTCCTTTTCTAGAAAACTCTGAATATAATTTTCTTCACCTGAATATAAATATTCATATCGACAGTGGGGTTATACAAGATCTTCTGTTTATATTTTATCTTATTCTACCTCTCAWCAATCTGATTGGTTGGTTTGWGATAGAACATTGATACATCAACTTGTTGCAATCCAAATAAGAAAAGCCAACTTATACATATCGAGTTACACTCAGTAATTATGTTCTGTAATTGAAATGTCGTATGTGTCCCTTTGATGGACGTGTAGCGACAGCAGTATTTATTTATTAGGGATGTTAGAAAAAGTAGATCTATCGAGTTCCTCTTACAGGCCAAAGGTACAAGAGTGAGTTCCATATGCTTTCCTTTCCTTTTCGCTGCCCCTATTGAACTTTGATGATTGAATTCACCATGGGGAAATGTTGGATATGGACCTAAGAGAGTTATATTTGAAGTTACAATTGTTTTGTCTCTATATGTTACACGTCTAATTGCTTGGTATCTTATATCTTACGCAAGTCGGCATGTATCATGTTGTGGACAGTTTTTCTAATATTCAATAAATCAACATGAYGAGGTTTTATGTCTCTATCCTTTGTCTCCTTTGAGCTACATRGAAATTATCATGCTGCTCGTGGTTGAAATATGTGATGGTCTTCTATTCTGTTGATGTGCTAATTGTACTTTTACAGGTTAGATTCCACCCACTGCATCCAGAAATACTTGCGAGTGGAAGCTTGGATCATGAAGTTCGATTGTGGAATGCAAATACATCAGAATGCATAGGGTCCCGTGATTTTTGTAATTACTAAGCACATTAGTTTTCTTTTATTCCAAGCATAAAGTATATATTTGTTAAAGAGCCAATTTTCTTATTGAAGGTCCAATTAGAGTATATTGAAAGATTATCATTTATAATAGCCAGATACATTTATCTACTTATAGTTGTATCAAAACCGAGGTTATGCATGAAAAAGCAGTTGTACATATTCAAATGTCAATATTCTTATATCTACATGTTTGCTTTTTTTCGCAGACCGCCCTATTGCTTCCATTGCATTCCATGCTGAAGGAGAACTGCTTGCCGTTGCTGCAGGCCATAAGGTGTTTATATCTTACTGCTTTCTTATGTCTCTGGTCTTTCACTTTGTTTAAACGTTTTTGTATTTGACAAGTTATTCATGACTTAGACCTTGTATGGTGGTACTTCACAGTTCATTWTATTGACATCAACTTTCTAATTCCAGCTGTATTTATGGCATTACAATAGTAGAGGAGAGACTTCCTCACCTACTATTGTATTAAGGACGAGGCGRTCTCTTCGTGCGGTGCACTTCCATCCACATTCTGCTCCATTTTTGTTAACTGCGGAGGTAAGATTCTTTTAACAGGTTTGCAACTAGCTGAGTCTCACCCTGAAATAATYATTTGACTGATTTGCAGGTCAATGATCTTGACTCTTCGGATTCTACAATGGCACCTGCAACATCTCTTCGTTATTTGCACTATCCTCCTCCTGCTGTATATATGGGAAATATGCATTCCATTGATCGTCTAAGTTTAGCTGCAGAGCTACCATTGATGCCTGTACCTCTCTTCTGTTCTCCTTCTTATGCAACTGCCGATTCAAGGCCACAACTACAGATCGGCAGGAGACCTGTTGACTCAGACAACGGACAATTAGAATCTTCTGACCGACTTCAAGTTCTTGCAAATGCAACTGAACTGTATGAACAGATGATGGCTTCTTCTGTTCCTTCGTCGAGCACTCATGATACAGTAGTTGATAGTGTATCTAATCCTACTCCCGGTGAAATGCAAAGCTCTTTTTATAGAAATGCAATGGATGTCACTGGGACTACTGCGGTACAACCTCCAGTGGAGTACCAGCAAAATGGGGCTTCTGACATGGATACTTCTGGTGCTGTGGGTGTCCCCGAGCCAGTGCCTAGTCAGATGGGCGGGGCTACRGTCGAGATTAGGCAAGATTTATTTAGAGATCGTGTGTGTTGGGAATTACCTTTCATGCAAGGATGGTTAGTCGGCCAAAGCCAAGCTGGCACTCAATCAACCTTCCCTCTTACTGGCAGTACACAGGAACATTCAGCTGGTAATAGGGGGCCGGGACCAACTACATTGCCACCTGAGTCAGCCTCCTCTAATGGGGAGCTTTTAGAGGCTTCATTGGTAATGCCACATGGTACAAACCGAGTGACTCTAGAGAGACCAGGTTTACGGGATCTTTCTTCAAATGCTGCCTCAACTTCTGCATCCGAATATAGGCAAAATGCTCTGATCAATGAGCCAAATGATGGGGGTGATTCTTTTCCTATCATTAGTCGAATACAGTCTCAACTTTCTGCATCATTGACTGCTACCGCTGCTGCTGAGTTGCCTTGCACTGTAAAGCTAAGAATATGGCCTCATGATTTTAAAAATCCGTGTGCCTCCCTCAAGGCTGAACGATGCCGTCTAATAATACCACATGCAGTACTTTGTAGGTAAGGTTTCAGGACCCTTACTGCATTGAATTTGCTTTTGTTACAGGCTTACAGCCTGCAACTGAAGTGTCATATTATTTGTGATTGGGTTACTAAAACAATGCTTTATGGTTGTGTCTCCTTTGTTGCATAATGTGTATTCCTTTATCTGCGCTAAGATGTTTCCATCAAACCACAAGTTGGAACTAAGATTATTRCCTAATGGAGGAAATCGATGGAAACATTAAAGCAAGAGTTCAATTGTTGAACATAAAACATACCTTTTAACATTGGGGATATATTTTCATTTTCTAATAACACTATTACTAAAAAAAGCAAGCTATCAATTGGCATTTGCTAATTAACTCATATTCTTCTGGGCTCTGGCACTAYGTGAATATGAATCTATAATTTGTACTGGAAGTGTGAACTATATCTTAGTTTGGTTTGATCCTATGTTGGTTGCTTACGTTGGATGTGTTGGTACAGTGAAATGGGGGCCCATTTTTCACCTTGTGGGAGATATCTAGCTGCTTGTGTTGCATGTGTGCTTCCTCAGTTTGAAGCTGATCCTGGGATACCAAACCAACTTCATCAAGAGAGGGCTGCAACATCTCCAACACGGCATCCTATTTCTGCTCGCCAAGTGATGTATGAACTTCGAATATATTCACTCGAAGAAGCAACGTAAAGTTTCAATTCTCTGTGTTTATATGATTTCTGTCTTCTTGGCTTTATGTTAACCAATATATTTGTATCTTAATATGAAAATTGATGTTATTCRTGTAGTTTTGGTACGGTACTTATTTCGAGGCCGATTAGAGCTGCTCATTGTTTAACATCCATCCAGGTAAGTTTCTTTCAAGTTTATTTCTGAATAACTTTCAGTGGTCAAATAATATTATCATTRCCTCTAAATTATTCCAGAGGTGTTCTGCTAAATTCGAATGAGAAGTACTGGATAATCTTATCACAACTTTTATTATGAACAATAAGGAGCTAATCAATACATTCTATTGTGATGTGGAGCCATAAATTCCCTAATGTTGGTAACTTAAGTGCAGCAGCTTCACCCTGCCTGCCCTTTACCTTCTTCAAACTCCCCTCCTTCCGTCCATGTAAAGAGCAGTGTTGGTTAAAAAAGGAAGGGAAATTATCGTCTGAAAAGTAGATCAAACTCGCAATTAATGSTTCAGACTTTTATTAACATATAGTTCTTTAAGAGGCAATGTTAAACCATTAAGAGCCGTTTGGATGAAGAAATGGACAATTAAGMATAAGAGTTGTCTACTTGTTTGAGTGAATAAGTGATAGGACCATTAGGTGTCTTGTTAACCACTATATATAATTCCTTTGTGCCACAATCAAGCTTTATTGGAGGTCTATTCCTTGGAGTTGGATGCAGAGGCAGACCYAGAAAACTTTTCAAGTAGTGACATAATTGGACCATAAGGGTATATTGGCTGGTTGCTTGCTTTTGCAAAGGAAGGATCACGGGTTCGCCCTTGCTGCTTTTCTCCAAAGCTATAAAATAAAATCTGAAAAACGGCTGTATTGCTAAAAGCGGGATTTGAATTTTGAGCCCACGTCTTTTTTTGGCAAGACACTATAACCCGATGACTTAGACCAGTTCAGCCACCACAAACTTCTGTCATAAGTTTAGAATTAAAAAATATAGGGGCACACAACAAAACATTATAGTTTCACCCTTCTAAAACATAAATCTTTTTCCCACTACGATGGAACCATGAAGCGGTGGCACGTGCTCCCACTTAGGTTCGCCCTTTGTTGGATGTTAAGCCTGTTCAAAACTTGGGAACTGTAAATGACCTCGAAGAAATTACATTCAGGCTTTTGTGGTAGGCTTTGGATGGAAATTCTTCAAAATGCATCTTAAAAGAGAAGGAGGTGCAAATATTTTTTCACAGGTTTTGAGGTTAAATTATCTTAGGTCTGCTGAACTCGATGYGTTTTATGTTAGAAAAGCAGTCACCTGGACAAAAATAATATGTTAAAGGGTTAATCCTTTGTGGGGTCGGCCATGAATTGAAAATTGCATAGCCATGTCTTTCTTAGTTAAACACTCGAGCGTGATGAGGCCTGGGGGGTTTGTTTGAACGTAACTTATGTAGTTTATTTTTCTGCAGTTCTCTCCCACTTCTGAGCACATATTGCTTGCTTATGGTCGACGCCACAGTTCTCTTCTCAAAAGCATTGTTATTAATGGGGAGACRTCATTATCCATTTACACAGTTTTGGAGGTAAATTCAACATTTCGATGTGCTGTATCGACTTTCTCTTTATATTCTTCTGCTATTCCAAGATACGAGCTARGCAGTTAACACGGTTGATTGTGGAAATTGCGGCTGGGACCATGATTTGGAATTGCAGTTATCGCGGTGGTATAGCGATCAAAACATTAGGCTCATAAAATAAATATGAATATATATATATATATGATATATATGTGTGTCTGTAACTTAACATATATGCCTATAAAAATAAATACTTAATGCACAAACAACAAAATAATAACCAAGCTAAACTTAAAGGTTAAACAACAAGGTCAGAAACCATTAGGGACTGAAACAGAAACCATCCAGTAAAGTGGCGTCTATTTCCAAAGTCCAAAATTCCAACAATTAGGTGCTAAAACAGAAAGTCAGAAACCGTTACCTGATAGTAAGTGTTAATGTTCAAAAGTAGAAGCAATGGAACAGGAACAGCAGAAGAAATCGATAAAAGCACAATCGACTACGGAATTGTTTTGCACTTTGGAATCGATGACCAAGATTTTGGATTGTAGAACCGTGGGATTGATAATCGTTGCTTTTGTTGATAAGCCAACTAAGAGTCTAAATAACTATGAAATGTGAAATGTTTTTATCTTTTTCTCTTTCTTGCTTGTGTATGTGGCTTACCCACAATTAAATGTGAAATGTTATGTTATTACCAAAACTTCGGTTTATGGCTGTAAAGTGGACACTTTTTGAGTGAAAAAAATTGTTGGCAGTTATCTGTCATCAGAAGATAAGTTTATCGACACATAATTTTTGCAATTGGATAGTGTTTGGYTTACCAAATAATTTCGAGAAGATAATTAGCACTTGGAGGATCTGGTTTCCGACACATATGGTATCTGTACACTTGTATTTTCATGTATAGGTTTTCCGRGCTCGTTATTTTTTTGAGAGATGATAGATGTAAAACAGATTATTCATTAATATTCAGATRGCTAGATCGAAGATCCGGTGTTTACACGTTTGTCATGTGCTTTATTATCTCATTGTTTACGCCTTTTTGTAATTTGGTGTTTCAGGTATATAGAGTTTCGGACATGGAACTTGTGAGTGTGTTACCTAGTGCAGAAGATGAGGTCAATGTAGCTTGCTTTCACCCCCTTGCTGGCGGAGGTCTTGTCTATGGGACCAAGGTCTGTATGCTGGTCCTTGGGCCGCCTTCGTATTTTATTAAGTTTTACTTCATCCGTCCTAAAAAGGGTGTTATCCACAATGAAAAGGGCACACAGTTTTAGGAATATATAGTAATTACACTTTTAGTATCAAATTAACTGAACAGGGAGAATGAATTTATTTATCTCATAATTAAGGGTAGAATTGGAAAACATGCACTGTCGAAAGTTGACGCATATTTTTGGAACAAACTAAAATAGAAATGTGGACACTTRTTTTGGGATGGAGGAAGGATTTGTTTGTTGGCAGCTTAATGAGCTTAATGAGACTCGTAACTTATTCGATCAGCTRTACATGACGATTTGGTAGTGGCTTAATGATATAAAAAATGGCTTATTCRGTAAGCTTCTAAGGGGGAGCTTTATATAGAAAGCCAAGTTTTTTACAAACATGCTCTGCCCAATTAAAAATACGCGTCTTCGTCTWCTAAAAAACCCTTCCAAACAAAAACTTTCCCGGTCTATACAGATTAATCCACACAGGCAACTTTATCCTTACAGAACTTAATGGACAACCAACCAACCAACAACGAAGTATTGTTCTTCCCATTTGAACAACTTTRTCTCATTTGTAATTTATTTTCTTTGCAGGAAGGAAAACTTAGAATCCTTCAGTACGATGGTGCTTATGTGACAAAAATCACCAGGCCCGATCACCTTTTTGAAGCACAAACAGTTGAGGTAGAACCGTAATGCAGGTTGTCTAGATACTTCTATGTTATCTCTCTGATTTCCTAGTTCAGATATTATAAGCCGATTTAGTTTTTGCTGGTGTATTTTGGAAACGTTTTTGCCATCATTACTACCTTTACTGAATCTCCCCTAAGAAATAAATCATTAGTCATTACATTTTGTGTCCCTTGGCACAAAATGATCAACCTTTTTTTCTGGGCAACTGTGGGTTTCTGGGCCAGCTTACACGCACTGCTAATCCCCCGGGCGACCACGAAAGGCCTGGAGTCCTTATAGGTGAACCTTCATGGCCACAAGGGMTTTGGCATTGCCTGAATTTGAACCCRGGGTAGATGAGATTTTCCACCCAMTCAACCTTCTGTACATTTTAGAATCGGGATTCTTTTATTAAGGGTAAAATTGTCATTAGGCAAGTACAAAGTTCTAAAAAACTCGGTGCCTTCTACATTATGACCATCTTAATCCTATGATTATGTAGGTGCTACTAAATTGAACTTCTTGGTGATGTGACCTACATTGGATTATATTGCAGGTTCAGGCGTACGCTTTAGAATGTTAAAACGCCAACGGTGATATTTCACATCGAAGGTGTGTACCATAATTGAATATATTTTTTGTCGCAATTGAAGTATGATTTCCCTGTTATAAGTTGTCGGCAGGCCGCWCTCAGTTTTTGCTTATGTCACAGTTGACGAATAAGAACTTGAAATTTTGCCAAAAAAGGAAACATATACTCCATCCCAAAACAAGTGTCCATGTTTTTATTTTAGTTTGCCCCAAAATAAGTGTYGGCTTTCAAAAATWAAGTGCCTACTTTCCAATTATAACCTTAAGGGTGCGTTTGTCATACTGGACAAACAAAACAGAACATGGATCGCTGTTTTATGTTTGGCATGACTTTTATGTGGAACAAACCTATATTTTACCAATATAACMTCAAAATAACATATTTCTCTTGTAAGACATCAAATACTTGTTGATATCATCATCATCATAATAGTAGTTGATGGTAACAATTTTGATGGACAGGAGCAGGCAGCAGGTCTCTGAAACTTAATGCACACAGCCATGAGCTGAACTAGTTCCTCTTTTCTTGTTCCACATTTTGCTTGTATTTTAGCTACCATTTAGGCAGAGTTTTACCAACTTGTTGTATACCCCCATAAAGTAGTCATTTCCCAATGCCTACACTTTGGAGCATTGTATATTATCAACAAACTAGTTTCTTTACTTGCACAATTGTGGACATCTATAAACATTTCTTGCTCCTGCTCTAAACTTACCTCCATTTTTCCGTTTTAAACCCTTTTTTTGGATTCTGCAAAACTCGATACTTGCTAGTTTGAAGTTGGCTGATATGTTCTGGAGCAACTCGTTTTACGTGTTTGGGTACGTTTGGTACACAGACTGAACTGGATTTGATTGGACTGGACTGGATTGGATTGGATTGGTATGTATTAGAGTAATTCGTTTTACATTAGTTATGAATTAGTAGTTAGATTGGTTCTTTTTCTTTCTTTACGATGTTTGTTAAAGTACTTCTTTATGGGTATGTTTGGTACGTGGACCAGGTTGAATTGAGTGATGTAGGATGGTGAAAGAATCGTGGAAGGTTTTASAGTTGTAATTTGATATGGGCTGTTTAGTAATTTACCTATTTTGTCTCAACCCAACCCAATCCAATAAAAAACGTATGGGTTGGTTGGGTTGATACTTTAGTACATTAAGAGATTCTTTTAATCTTAAATATGTTTTTTTTTCTCTATTGATGGTTCGTTTTTCAACATTATTTGATACAACTTATTCATATTTTTTAAATTTTAAGTATATTATTTTAGAGATTCCAATGTTAATAATATTATTAAAATATTAAATACATTTAATAAAATATCAATTCTTTGTATTGAACATTTAATTTCGATGTCTTTTATCGGTGAGAAAGAATTGGATATCATTTTTTTTCTTAAATATTACGTTTTACAAATTTCCCTAAATTTGCATATTGTTACCATCTCTTCTCTCTCCTCTGTTTTAACACATACTATAACATAACTGTTGAAGCAAACATCTCTCTTAAATCTACAAATCTCTATTTTATTATAGTCGTTAAAGATGTTACATTATATATTTATGTCAAAGACAAGAGGACTAAGAGCAACCAAAGAGGCCTAGAGGTATCTGAGCCTCTTGCCTCTTAAGAGGTCAGAGGTTCAGACCTCACCAATGRTGAGGAGGGTGTGTGAGTTTATTTGTTTCATTTGTTGTATATAAAAATTATTATATACTTAAAAAAAAAAAGATTAAGAGCATCTTCAATAAATTCTTTAAAATAGAAAAAAATAGAGTTTTTGTTCTCTATTTTAATACAAAAAATTCCCTAAATGGTTATTTAAAATAGAGAAACAAGAGAACTTTAAGTTAGAGAATTATCTAAAACTTGACGTGTGGAGAGAGAAATCAAGTTATTATTCATTCCCAGTTTCCCACCAATAACATTGAGGGGCCGTTTACCAAACATTTACCGGATAAGCACTAACCGGGAAAATTCAATACTATTATTTATTATTGGGTAAGATTTTAGTTAACAAAAACGGCTTTTTATGCAACAATTTACCTGGTAAGAGCTAACTGTGGCAAGAGTCATTGTCCTCACTTACCGAGTAAGACTCGATCTTTTCCTCGTTCTTACCGGGTAAGATTTTTGGTCCTTATCATATTCATCCGATAAGGTAATATAACTTAGTAAGCGTTTACCCAAGTAAACATGCGTTTACCCAAGTAAATATTTGGTAAACAGCCCCTGAATCATTATTATTTTTAAAAGGTGTATTGAGATGATAAATTTATGGAATATTTTAATAATATGATGAATGCTGAGATCTCTAAAATAGTGAATATATGGAAGTTATGCAATTTTTCTAAAGACTTTGAATTTTTATCTTCTATTTTTGTTGGGTGATTGACCAACATCTTTCTAAATCGAAACGTAACGCTGACTGCTATGCTACAAATAAATAAGGTGCGCC